TATTGATATTTTAGACTTTGACTTGTTATCTGTGGCTAATATTGTAACACCTAATCCTATTCCAATTAAGGATACTCATCTAATCAATATTCTTGTTCGGTGTTGGTCACCAAAGAAGATTAAGATTTTACAAATATTAAAAAAATGTTAGAAAAGGGTGTTATCTAAACATCTTAAAATCCTTTATAAACCTCATTTTATAACAAAACTTAATAAGAGTATTTACTTTTGCATAGACTATTATTTATTAAATGAGATGACTATCCTAGATGTGTACACTATGATTAATTTTCACACTATATTTTCTAAAGACTACTTTTCTAGACTTATTATACCATTACATGGAAAGTCTGCTGATCAAAAAACTGTCCCTTCCAAGCTCTCAGTGTTCTCATTGAGAAATGGGTCATGCCAGATTCCTTCCACTATGCATTCTCGCACAGTATCACAAAGTTGCTGAATTCTTTGCCAAAGACAGTGGCAGCGGCGTGGAGGAGCCGATCCCATTCCTTGCTGAATTCCGCTCCTAGAGACTGGGCATGCTCCACAATCGACTTCTTGGTCGTGGAGCAAAGTTCCAGGAGCATGGCATGGTCGCTCTGTCCTTTCCTTGTCAGCATCCAGCCATACAGAAGCTGGCCAACCAACACACTTGCATCCACTGTGATAAAACCAGCACCGTGAGAATTGCAGTGGGATGACGAGTGCACGGAAACCCAGTGGTTGAGATGCTCGCAAATGCTTGCGTCCCATGATTCGTGTTCTCCAGCAGCCATGAGCTCCTGGACAAAAAAAAAACAAGCGAGACTTTTCGATTAGAAACAGCACCATCGTTTTCGTTTGGACGACTTACCTCCAATATCTGCCGAACACCAAAGCTGACGTCCACAGACTTCCACTCTATCCGCAGGAGCTCATGGAAAAGATCGTTGCACCACTTGATCCACTTCAAACTAAGCGGCACGAGGCTACTAGCGTAAGTGTGTAGAAGCAAGAGCATGAGCTTGTCATGCTGCCCGCCACCGCCGGCTATGGCTTGAGCTTTCAAAGCGTCAAGCCAGTCGAAGGGCTGCTTGATGCTTTGGAGCTGAAGCAGCAGCCAGGTGAAAAAGAGGCTACTCACTGGGTCGCTCACGTCGAACAGAGAAGCGGCGTCTATAAGGCACGTAGATGTGGGGGTGGAGGGAATCCGTTTTGCGATGCTCACAACATCTGAAAAGAGTGAAAAAAAAAGAGTTAATCTTGAAAGCTAGCACAGGAGAAAGGGAAGCAATGCATACTTCCAACTTCTGATGCCATTACTTTACTGGCTTGGAAAGTCGATTGATCGAGCTGCAAGGGAGAGTTAGAATCTGCTTCCAGGAAAAGGAAAAAATAGAAAGGAGAAAAGCTCACCTCGGCAAGCCTGGTTACAGTGGAGGAGCAAAGAAGGGTGGAGAAGAGCAATCGCGATTCTGGGCGCTATTGCTGCTGCCAACTACAATCTTGTCGCTGGCGCCTGAAGTTAGTCAGTGGCGATGACAAGAAGGCGTCTGGCACAGGAGCGCTAAGAACACGAGCAATGGCCACGCTCCAGTGGAACCTTCCACTTGAGCTCAGACACAGTACAAGAGACTATCCCGTCGGGCATGACATCGAAAACCACGTCCCCGCCGGGCGATCCATCTCGAGCCCAAACCGATCGAACGCTTAGCAATGACGTGAGGTTTTCTGATGGTGACATGAGCTATTGCTAGTGTAACGATGATAAACGGAGTCCATGGCGGGAGTTTGTGTTTGCAATGAGTTATGCTGCCAGTCATGCTCCAGGCCGCCTCTTACTGTCTCAAACTCTCTTCGAATCTTTACTCTTTCTAAGTCCTACAGCATTGAGATGCTTTGGCTGGATGGTCGGTATGCTCTAGATAACACTTTATTCTTAGAGCTTCATGATGCGAATTCAGTAAGATGTTAAACTTTCTTTGTAGATACTGTCTATCATTTGTGCATTCAAGGTTGAGCCAGGAATCACTAATGGAATGATACTGTTTTTCTCAATAATTTTTGGACTGACTGACTGGCCTTTTGTGCGGGCTTGATCAGGCTTGGACAACATCAACTCAAAGTGCAAGTATACTTCAGATTGTTTAGTTCTCCTTGGCTTGCGAGTAAAGTTACACAAATTTTTTGATATATCCCAACACGCTCAGCCTGGAGTGGCAGGTGACCATGCAGTAGTGAGAGATGTGATTTGGTGAAGATTGCAAGAGACGTGATTTAGTGAGGATTAGAGAATGGAGATCACTTCTAAGAACCTTGTGATTTTTCTATCTTGAAGTCAGATATTGACAAGGGGGTAGTTATGATAGCTTTGATATAACTGAGATTCTATTTAAAATGGATTTAGCTGAACCTTTAAAAATGCCATGTCATTATTATAATTGTTGCCAACTCAGCTAAATTCATTTTGTCTTTTTAAGTAATGATTACTATTTCTATACATGGTACTATTTTATTAATTTGTTCTACCGGGTTCCAGGCATCAGGAGAATGGTATGTGGTGTTTAATATAGGTATCGATGTCAAACACATACTTGAAAACTAACTCATGATTTCTATGCATCCCCTTAATTTATGAAACCTTTGTCATTAATTTTCTTCTTCTTCTTCTTCTTACTAATTTTTCTATGGTAACATAAGCTTAGCAACAGTAAAAGTTCAAGCATTAGGAGTTCATTTCTTATCTGTTCTAAAAACTTTATGGCAAACATTTTATCTCTATTATCAAATGTATTTTTTTCTCTCTGAATTCATAATAGCAACTCACATTTAAATGTGCAATTATGTTTTGAATTGCATGGACCTTTGTTTAAAAATTAAAATTAAAAATATCAAAAATTCAATTAAAATTATGGATTATCAAAATAAAATTCATGAAACTTTATTTTTCAAGATTGGAAAATTCAATTTAGAATTGCATGATGAAAATTTTGCTAAAATTATTTATAAAATATTGCATGTATTAATCAAGCTCAACACCAGAGTGTAGGGTCATGCACCCTAAGCTCAGAGTTGAGCCCCAAACTCAAGCTGGGAACCTAGACCTAGTAGACATATGCTCTTCGTATTCACCACATACCAAAATACCAGAATGAGGAAACGAATTGGATCATTGGATTAGCCAATTAAGCACTTGGCATCGACCACTTGGACATCCAAGGCTTCTATTAGAGCCTCTTGATCCATATGCAAACTGAGCAACTTGATGCATGCTCTTTGTGTTCACCACATACCAAAATACCAAAATGAGGAAATGAATTGGATCATTGGATTTGCCAATTAAGCACTTGGCATTGAGGACATCCAAGGCTTCTATTAGAGCCTCTTGATCCATATGCAAACTGAACAACTCGGTAAAAGAGAGGAGAGAGTAAAAAAAAAAGTCACTACCTAAGTGTTCCATGAGCTCCATGAGTAGGATCTTTGGATCATTGCCTATGATCTAAACAAACTAATTAGTCTTGCAAGCAAAAAAAAGAAGACAAAAAAAAACTCATAGAATCAGTGCTCTATGGTTTGCTTGTGATCTCAACAAACCAATTAGTCTTGCAAAAAGAAAAAGACAAAAAAAAAAACTAGTCTAGACATCCAAAAGCTCTTCAACATGTCAATCAAGCTTGTCACCATAAAATCATCCTCACTCCTCATCGTCAACCCTGGATCAATCACATTGCCACACACTTAATTGCAAGGACAAAACTATGAATTTCTAGAGTGATCTCCCATTATCCACATAACTCAGCATCAAGAAATGATGCTGTGCCAGGGCATGCAATTGATGGAAGAGGAGGGTGCCTCTCTGTGTGACTAGGGTTTGTGCATAAAAGGTTTGTACAATTCAATTCCAATTCAAATGTTTATAAACACTAGGAAATCTTACCCATTGATTACTTGAGAAGATTTAATCTCAACCATAAAAGAGAACATTCTTAGAATATGCTCAAACATAAGCTGAAAAGTCAACATCCTTGCAATATTCGATCATTACACGCCTACTGTTTATCTACTATTCAAGTCAATCTGCCCTAATGCAAATCATAATTTCTGTGTTTCTATACTGGAGAGCAGGACAGAAAGACATGTACACAAGACAAGAAGCACGAAGATTTGTGTTACAGCCCACGCATAGATTCCAGTCACAGGTGAATGGAAGAATGTTTAGATCCACTTATGCAAAATTCTATTTATCTCTCTATTATGCTACTTTGATAGTCTTGATGTGCAGCAACTTTCCTCTTGTGCACTGACCCAGACAATGGCATCACAAACTAGAACACCAAACAAGCCTTTGACACGCTAAAGTTCCACTGTTAGCTCTTTATACAAGTCAAGCTGACCTCCCACAAGACATTTGGGAGATGCTGCCCCTTGATTCAGTTGGGAGCGCAAACATTTCGTATTGATTTTCAAATTTTGGGGTATCACCATTTATTCTTTTAATTGGCTTCACCACCAAACACGAAGAATTGTTGCACAAGGAATCAGAGAAATCGAATCCATCACATTGTTAATCTATGATAAGAAAAGTCCAATCGAAAGAAAATTTCCAAAAGATAACATTGATTAGTGGCTAATCGATTTTATTGCCTTTCACTTGACGGGAGCAAGACGTTCGCGGGGGTAGGTCGGTCGGTCATGAAATTGACGACTTCTTTGCGTGGGGTAAAAACTAAATGCTCAAAAGTCCTTTTTACAGTAATTCTTACGGCCGGCCGTACTTCGGCCTGCCATTGGTTACCGCTTAATGGCTTCCGAATACAGCCGACTTTTGCTATTGCGTGGTCAAATCTTGCTGGCCTGTTGATGGAAGCAGGGGACTACAAAAGAGCTCTTGCTTATTATCAGGTTGGAAAACGCAAAGTTTATGTTTTCTGAATTTTTATCCATGCAGGAGGCTATTCGATTAAAGCCAAACTTTGCGAACGCTCATTTGAATCTTGGGAACGCCTTGAAAGTAAGTTATGTGGCATGTTCCTAGTAAGCGGTCTAAAGATTGTGGTTTTTAGAATCTTGGTAAATCTCAGGAGTCCTACTTGCGAGCCATTCAACTCCGGCCAGACTATGCAATTGCGTACGGTACGCGCTACTTTCCAAGCTTTCTGAATGCGTCCTGGTCGAGCTTGAGTGTGGAGTCAGACTGTGATCCCTGGCAATAGTGGTCTAACTGGCTGCGTTACCTTGTTTTTTGTTTTTTACATGTGTGTTGATCATGGGGCCATCTTAAAGGGCTATTGTGTTTGACCGAATTCCTAAATGCAGTCATGCTTTCATTGAGAGTTGAACTCAAGACCTCCCGCTTACTAAACGGGTGCTCTAACTAAGTCAAAAATTAATCATTCCGGAGAAAGGGTGCGAACCATTATACCACGGTAACCCTATTTTCCTTGCAGAAAATGCGCAAAATACTCACTCTTTGTTAGAGCCACTCGTCTCGTTCCCAAACAACTTTGTGACTGACTTCATTTACACCGTCTATAACAAGCACATTGAGCTGCCTATGCTGAACGCAGGCAGTGAAGGTTGTAGCTGCAAAAACGATTGTTCGGACACATGTGACTGTGTTCAGAAGACCATCGCATCATTCAGGACGTTTGGCAAGCCTTGTTCAATCGTGTACGAATGTGGACCATGGTGCAGCTGCTCATCGAAGTGCTGCAACAAGAGCTCTCAAAGGGGGATACAGAAAAAACTTGCGATTTTCAGGACAGAGGGCAAAGGCCTGGGCCTCCACGCAGAAGAAGCCATTCCCAGAGGCAGTTTCGTATGCGAATATGTGGGTGAGGTGCTTGAAGACAAGGGCTCGCCTTCCACTTACAAGTTTGCAATTGGACCAGAACTTGTGATAGATGCAGAAAAGTACGGCAACGTGGCCAGGTTCGTCAACCATAGTTGTGATGGTGGCAACGTCCACATCGAGTGTGTGTCTTATGGTCACCATGATGGAAGGTTGAGGCACATAACAATGTTTGCCGCGAAAGATATTGCAGCCAGCGAAGAGTTGACATTTCACTACTCGGGTAGTGAGGGGCGATATATTTTTGATGGAGATTGTTGTTGCGGTTCAGATCATTGTTGCACGCGACTGTTCTATGGGTGCTTTTCCAATCTAGACATCTTTGACTGATTGTATGTAACATAAGAAAATACATTAAAAACTTCACTCAATAACAATCATAAAAATATCAATTCTCAAAAGTCATTTCATTAATTGAAACTTTTACCAGTACCATATGATGATTGGATCGCGAACACAATTCATAGTTAGCAACCAGTCAGCCAAATTCACTCAGATCAACCATTCTTTTATTAACACTAAAGCCAAGTCAAATTAATTTTTTATTCTTTTTAGAAAAAGAAACAGCGACAACGTGTTTGAGTGTTGTTTGAGTGTTTCATGTGGTTTAGGTTCACTAAATAATATAAAATGTATACTTTTTCTGGTTTGCAGGGTTTGTAAAATGGTGACAAATTCACTATAGATCACTATCGAAGTTTTCTAAAGGTTCCCGCTTTCAAACTGACCAATGTGCCTCACCAATACACCAATTCGCCACTCCCAATTTCAATTCCCAGACCTGGCGTAGGCCGCGTAGCATGGTAGGCTTCAAACCAACCGTTTTGAACTGTGAATTCCAAGACAACGATTTCACTGTCAACCCAAGAAAATGTTCACAGGTCCCCGAACAAACCCTAAAGAGGGTTGTGTACAATGGCGGAGCAATGGAGGAGCGATGCGCCATTCTCACAGAATCATCACGGAGCCGCATTCGCAAGCTGGAGTGGCAAGTAAGTCATAGATGCTACTGTGAGGAAATGATCGCCTTTGGTAATGCCCTCGGCACTCACTTTATTCTTGTAGGACTTGTCGAGCTGCATTATGCTCCAACGCACCAAGAGCATTCCGATTTGTTTTCCTGCATGATGGTCGGCCTACAAATCCCGCTGTGGAATGCTGTAGGAAATTGGTGTAGAGGTGCTGTGCCTGTGCCTTCTGCTGCTAATTCTTCGTATTTCATGTGCAGAAGATGAGTATCAGGTGAGGTTGTCGTTGGAGATTTAAGTTGTTGAGCTGATTTGAATATGTATCGTGCTTATGAACAGAAACCAAGTCTCGGATCACCAATTAACAACGAGTGGTTTGCCAGCCTTACAAAGTCATGTTCTTTTGAATGCTGATCATATGGAGCCCCAATGATTGTGAATTGTAGTTGTGGTTATCGGGAATGCAAAATGTTGAGACTGGGTGGTAGTAGTAGGTGGTGTCGAGTTGATCAAATGGATCAATCAAGCTGTAGACCTCTGTCTATATCTGTTTTGATGATGACAATGGACTTGGGAACAAGTTACTACAAACGACATATGGAGTGATAGTGATAATAGTTTGTGACCACACCACCCCATGCTATCATTGTACGGCCGGGCTGCGACGTCCCCCATGCAGGAACGCCACGGCAGACTTCTGGATGAAGGATAAGGAGGAACACTGAGTCTGACCTGCCAGCCACAATGCAAAACGTGCATCTCGTGCAGCTCAGAGCCAGGTGCCTGCCACATAGGCATTGACCACAGCTGCCACGTGGAATATTTCTAGAGGTCCGCCTAGATATTCACGTCTCATGTTAATTAAGGCAATTCCTAAAGTCTTGAGACATTCAATATTATGTACCATAGATTGTTACACCTTCCCACGCGCTCCACAGGGTCTATGTACGAACTGTTGTTTGTTCTAAATTTTCAGATTTTCCTTGTTAATTAATGCATTAAGGCATTCTGGAGTTCTCCGTAAGTACGTGGCCACAAGAAGGATATATAAGAATGCAGCAGCAAGTGAAAATCATAACACAAACACAATGGCTTCCCGTCTCTCTTTCTACTTTGCTCTTGCTGTTCTTCTGCTTCTAATTCCATTTCTTTGACATCAGATGAGGATGTGGGCATCTCTAAGTCACTGTTTGCATGGTGGAAGCTGAATGAGAAGATAGGCTACCTGGTCGCAGACTCGTCTGGGAACAAGGCAACTGGGCTTGTGAAGCATGCCGGGTCCCAACTTGCTCACACAACTGATGGTATTGTGTTTGATGGTGCAACATACATTTTCATGGGCACCACGCCCTCTCTCTCTGGGCAGACTGATTTTGCTGTTCATGCTTGGGTGAAGGTCCCACCCCGCATGAAGTAGGAACTGTGTGTCATCCAGCAACGCTCTGATCAAATCTATGGTGAGTGGTGGCTATGGATCCTTAATGGCAATCTATGGTTTACGGTGTTGTCAACCGTATATATGGTCATATTTTCACATTTGAGGTTGCTTTTGTGAGTACTGACGTATTTCTGAGCTAGAAAAAGGTGAAAGATGAAGAAGCTCACTGAATAAGTTTCCTAGGAATATTCCAAGTACAGAGAGAAAAAGTGACAGATTTCAAAAGTGAGAATTTGAAGAAGTTGTTTTCTATGAAGTTGAAGATCTGATCAAGGGAAGTTCTTTGAGTCAATCGGAGTTGTGGATGAAGAGTTATTAGCTGGAAAAGTCTCAGCCGTTGGTTGGTGTTTAAGTTTTGGTAGTTTGAAAATTAGGTATGGCCATTCAGTTATTTTTACAGTTCTTGTTTTCTCTCTCAGGTTCTTGAGTTCTTTCTACTTGAAGATGGTGAGACCTCCCATAGGCTATCGAGATCCCGTCACCGATCGTGTCACCAATAACATGCGGATAAGGTGTGCGATCAAGGAGCTAAGAATTCAAGAGGAGCAGCAAATCCCAACTACCTGTCTGTCGCGAATGTAACTTCGGGTATCGAAAGTTACCTATCGGCCAGTCCTTACGGACACTCTTTCCTTACTACCGCGACGGCAGAAGGTCGGTATTGCTGGACCCGTTATCAATCTTTGCCTAAACTAGTTGAGAAATTGGTCCTCACGTGTGCACTTGACCAGCTGAGCATAAGAAAGGAATTCCTAAGTGTAGCGCATATGATCATGGGATGAGATTTGGATATACTGTCACCGTGGATCCTTGGAACCTTAGGAGATAAATGGGGATAAAATAGCCATTAAGGGCTCTCTCATCAAGCAATTGCCCCTTTTTCAGTTGGCTTAAGGGGAGAGAGATAAGGTGTGCTACAGTTGGTATTAGAGCAAATGGCACGGGTTCGATTCCCATTGATTAGTGGCTACTTAAAAGTATAATATACCCTTGAGCAAGGTATATTCCTACCCCTAAATTTGAAATCGTACGTATTGGGCATCCATGCGTACGTCCTTCCTCTTGTGTGGAGTATCCACGGACGAAGGTATCCACCATGGGACTGCGGTACGGGTGGATGACTAGTTGCCTACACAATGGAAGGATTGGTAAATTGAGTGCGGAAATGGAGGTGCTGGTTCCCCTTGGCTCAGTAGGGGTTGTTAGTCAATAGTCAATGAGGACATTGACATCTCTGAAGGGGGGGTGAGTGTAGTGCATATGATCATGGGATGAGATTTGGATATACTGTCACCGTGGATCCTTGGAACCTTGGGAGATAAATGGGGATAAAATAGCCACTAAGGGCTCTCTCATCAAGCAATTGCCCCTTTTCCAGTTGGCTTAAGGGGAGAGAGATAAGGTGTGCTACACTAAGTGTTTATTTAGTCAAGCATACTTGACTTGGTTAGAGAAACTCATTCGTTGACTTGCACTTGCTTGTGTTGGGAACCCCCGTGATATTGAGATTAGTCCCTCAATATTCGCTAAATGATAACTTACCGTGTTTGCCAAACACCCTCGCTATCATGCCCTTTGTGTTAGTCTCATTCCAGTCCTAAATGCTATTTATGGAAAGTGTCTAGATTTTCTCATTTGGCATATCTACGGAATGTAGAGATCGGCCTGAATACAATGATGTTCGTCCCGTGTCCAAATTCACAATCTAGCGCCATCCCATATTTAGTAGGTTTCAAGCTTATCCCAAAGACTAACTCTTGATTTTAAAGGAGGCTTGGGGTGAAAGCCCAAAGCATGTGTTCCTCACCGGGGGGGGGGGGGGGGGGGGTTCCAAATGTATAGTAGGGATAATGGGTAGGTTGGGCATGGCTGACCAACTTGAGGTATAGTCTAGCTCTTGCGTACCTGTCTTTGTTCTACGTCCGGCTTGGGTCTAAGCCCAAGCTCCACACCATACTAGCTGGTGGAGTACCCATATCCTCACGTTAGGCCACCGGTATGCTGAAATAGCGCTAGACTTCGTTTGGCTCCATTTTGCGTGTTGGTCCTAGCATTGAGATGCTGGTTGCTCTAGAATTGTTCCAAGTCGCTTCGGGCTCCTGTCCCTTTGCTCCTTGGGCTGTATGCTCGAGAGTTGCTCCGTGGTCCAGTTCCATCACTCCTTAGCTCCATGCTTGGGGGTTTGGCATCGTTCTTTCATTCAGTGGCCCAAGGCCTTGAAACTTAGGTTCCACACCACTATCTTTTGGACACATGGCATATGACACATGGCATCTATCACGTGGCATTAGGTTCCACTCCGTGGTGTTATCCTATGGTAAATCACCATAGGATAAAGGGTAAAAACCACGTGCCCTACACTGTCCAACCTGTGGTCAAGTGTGGTACCATTACCTACGTGTGATCATAGAGGAGTTACTATAAGCCCAACGCACTCAGTATGAGTGATTTGTAGTTATTGCTGAAATACAAGCCCTAAGGGAGTCTTTCCTGTCTTTCCTTGTTGTCATGTATTTTTCCTGACATTTTTTGGTGTGTTAGCTGGGAGGGCTTAGTCGTAGTAACTGCGCAGTAAACCAGGCCTAAGGAAAAGGCCGGTCATTTGCGGGCATCTGCAGTAAGCATCCTTTGTCACATTTGGTTCTCGGTCTGGCAGGTAGATCCCCAGATTTAGATAATTTTCTAGATTTTTCTACTAGGAGGGCAGAGCAGAATCGAGGCTGTTCTGAACAAGCAGCGAGGAGACTGTTACAGAACTCGCCTGAAACCAGTCCTAAAACTAGTGCGAGGACTTTGGACTCAAGTTTGAATTAGGAGGAGTGGGGGCCATTTGAACCAGCCTCACCCACACCTTAAGCAGTAAATCCTCAAATGGCACAGCCAGCCAACGCAAGGATGAAGTATCCAACGTTTACACAGATTGATGATCCAGACGCTCACATAACTGCTTTTGAAAACGTCAGCACAACAAATCAGGAGCAGGCAGATGCTGTGAGAGTCTGTCTATTTCCGGTGACATTGCTGGGAGCAGCAGTAGAGTGGTATGGTCAGGCGAATGTAGCAGCAGCCTTTGCAGCCTGGACGGACCTCAAAATGGCATTTCTCAATGCTTTCTGTCCTATGGGATTCAAGCAGCGTATCAGCGACGAGCTAAATTCAATTCAATTGTTACCTGGAGAGACATTGCAAAATTACGTTCTTCGCTACAAGAGGCTGCTCGCAAGGAAAGATCCACAGCCTGCTGCTGAAGACCAAGTCCACTGGTTCTTGAATGGGTTGCCATTTGAGATTGGGTTCCACGTGAAGGTGCAGAGACCGACAGATTTGAACGCAGCAATGGAACACGCAGCAACATGGGAATAGGCCTGAATGTCGTCGCAGAATGTTGCAGCTGTAGTTCCAGCAGCAACATATGGTAACTTGTTCTCACCGAATATTGCACAGTACCAGACTGGTATGCTTGGAGCTGTAGCAGCTCCACCTTTGATTCCAGTCCAACCGTCAGTTCTCCAGTTACCTGCAGTAAACACGACCGGATATGAGAGCCAACTCATGAAAGTGAAAGAAGATGTGGTGGAGACACTTACCAAGAAGATGGAAGAACTCCAAGTGAGTCTGGTTCAAGGTTTGGGAGCTCCAACTCGGCCGATGCATGAGAGAGCTGAGATCTGGTGCATTAAGTGTCAAGGATATGGCCACTATCCTAGTGAGTGTCCGAATCTGGTTTTGGCAAAAGCTCCTTGTCCGTATTGTGGGAAGTTTAGCCACAAGCCTGAGAAGTGCTTTTTTCATCCAGCTCGTGTGATACCCAAGTTCCAGCAGCAAACTGTAGTCGCAAGCTACTACGTTCAACCACAATTTCCACAGCAATATGTTCAACAACAATTTCCACAACAATATGAGATGTACCCGGTTTTTAACGTAGGAGCTCCAGGGGCCGTGCAGAACTCGGAGCCAATGCTGCAGCAGACTGCCGGTGGAGGCCGAGGTGGCAGCCGGATGGGAATGTTCAGAGACAGAGGCGGAGGC